GGATTTGGGGTGCCCCTGGGTTTTGGGGTTCTCCCTGAATTTTTGGGATGGGATTTTGGGGTGGGGTTTTGGGGTGCCCCAGGTTTTGGGGTTGTGGTTTTTTGGGTCCCCCCGGGTTTTGGGGTGGATTTTGGGGTCCTGCTGTATTTTTTGGGGTCCCGTGGGTTTTGGGGTGGGTTTGGGGTTCCCCCCCAGATTTTGGGGTGGGGTTTGGACCCCCCAGGTTTTGGGGTGGGATTTTGGGGGTACTCTGGATTTCGGGGTGTACTTTTGGGGTGGGATTTTGGGTTTCCCGGATTTTGGGGTGTAATTTTGGGGTCCCCCTGGATTTCGGGGTGGGGTTTTGGATCCCCCCAAGTTTTGGGGTGGGATTTTGGGGTCTCCCGGGTTTTGGGGTTCTCCTGGGGTTTGGGAAGGGATTTTGGTTTTCCTCTGAGTTTTGGGGTCGGGTTTTGGGTCCCCCCCGTTTTGGGGTGGGGTTTTGAGGTCCCCCCAAGTTTTGGGGTGGGATTTGGGTTGCCCCAGGGTTTTGGGGTGTAATTTTGGGGTCTCTCTGGATTTTGGGTCGGGATTTTGGGGTCCCCCAGGTTTTGGGGTGGGATTTGGGCCCCCCCGGGTTTCGGGGAGGTATTTGGGTTTCCCTCTGAGTTTTGGGGTCAGGTTTTGGGTCTCCCGGGTTTGGGGTGTCGTTTTGGGGTCCCCCAGCTTTTGGGGTGTAATTTTGGGGTGGGCTTTGGGTTCCCACGGGTTTTGGGGTGTAATTTTGGGGTGGGCTTTGGATCCCCCCCAGCTTTTGGGGTGGGATTTTGGGGTGGGCTTTGGGTTCCCATGGGTTTTGGGGTGGGATTTTGGGGTCCTGCTGCATTTTGGGTTGGGATTGATCCCCTCGTTCTCCATTGCCGCTGTTACCGTGGTCACCACGTGCCCGTTGCCATGGTTACCGTTGTCATCAGTCATCCGTTGCCATGGTTACCGTGGTCCCCACATGCCTGTTGCCATTGTCATCCGTTGCCATGGTTACCGTGTTTTCCCCCCATCTTCCGTTGCTGTGATTACTGTGATCGCCACATCCCCGTTGCCATGGTTACCGTTGTCATCAGTCATCTGTTGCCATGGTTACCGAGGTCCCGGTCCCTCCATTTCCATGGTTACCGTTGTCATCCGTTGCCATGGTTACTGTGATCCCCACATCCCCGTTGCCATGGTTACCATCGCCATCAATCATCCGTTGCCATGGTTACTGAGGTCCCGGTCCCTCCATTTCCATTGTTACCGTTGCCATCTGTTGCCATGGTTACCGTGTTCCCCCCCTGTTACCATGGTTACCGTTGTCACCCATCACCCGTTCCCATAGTTACCGTCCTATTTCTTGGTTACTGTTGGTATCCGTTGCCATGGTTACCGTGGTCTGTCCCCCCCTTACCCGTTGCCATGGCTGCTGTGAGCTCTGCCAGCTGTTGTCATGGCTACCACGTTCCCACTGCACCCGTTGCCATGGTTACCCCAGTACTGTGGTCCTCCATCACCTGTTGCCATGGTTACCGTGATCTCTGGTCCCGTTTCCATGGTTACCGCGGTCCCCACCTGCCTGCTGCCATGCTTACCCCGTCACACACCCGTTGCCATGGTTACCGAGTGCCCAGCCCCCCGTTGCCATGGTTACCCTGCTCCCTGTTCCCACGTTGCCATGGTTACCCCGTCTCCCACCCGTTGCCATGGTTACTGGAGCACAGCCCCCCCACCACACACCCGTTGCCATGGTTGCCGTGGTCCCCCATCACCCGTTGCCATGGTTGCCACGGTCCAAACATGCGCGTTGCCAAGGTAACCCCATCACGCACCCATTGCCATGGTTACCGAGCTCCCCCCATCACCCATTGCTGTGGTACCCAGGCAGCCGTTGCCATGGTTACCCCATCACACACCCGTCACCATGGTTACCACGGTCCCCATCACCCGTTGCCATGGTTACCATGGCCACTATTTCCATTGCCATGGTTACCGCGGTCCACACATGCGCGTTGCCTTGGTGACCCCATCACATCACGCACCCGTTGCCATGGTTACCGGTGTCCCCCATCACTCGTTGCCGTGGTTGCCGTGGTACCCAGGCAGCCGTTGCCATGGCTACCGTGGCCCAGCACATCCCTGTGGTTGTGGTTGCGGTGTTCCTGCCCGTTGCCATGGTTACCCCATCCCAGGCCCGTTGCCATGGTTACCGTGGCCCTGCACCTCCCCGTTGCCATGGTTACCACCGTCCCTGTGGTCCCCGCGCTCCCGTTGCCATGGCAACCCCTCCACCTGCCACCGCGGGAGCCGCGATGCTTTGCTGCCTGTCGCCATGGCAACCGTGGCCCTGCGGTACCCGTTGCCATGGTAACGGGGTAACCCCGTGTCCCGAATGGCCCGTTGCCATGGCAACCAGGCAGCCTGGGTCCTGAGTGGCCCGTTGCCATGGCAACAAGGTAGTGCAGGTCAGGAGCCGGGTAACCCGGTTACCATGGTAACGGGTTACCGCACCCCCAGGTGGCCCGGATGCGGAATAACCCGTTGCCATGGTAACCACGTAACCTGGATCTGGAGTCACCCGTTGCCATGGTAACCGGTAACCCAGGTCCCGAATAACCCGTTACCATGGCAACAGGACAGCCCAGGTCCTGGAATGACCCGTTGCCATGGTAACCACATAACCCAGGTCCCGAATGACCCGTTACCATGGTAACCAGGTGAACCAGGTCTGGAATCATTCGTTGCCGTTGTAACGGGGTAACCTGAGCTCCGAATACCCCGTTGCCATGGTAACCAGGTAACCCGGGTCCTGTGCTGCCCGTGTCCACGGTAACCGGGTAACCCGGGTCCTGTGCTGCCCGTTGCCATGGTAACCAGGTAACCCTGAGTCTTATGCTGCCCGTTGCCATGGTAACTGCACAACCCTGCACGCTGAGTGACCCGTTACCATGGTAACCACTTCACCTGGATCTGGAGTCGCCCGTTGCCATGGCGACCGGGTCACCTGGGTCCTGAGTGACCCCTTCGCCAGGGTAACTGGTCCGTTGCCATGGTAACCAGGTAAACCACATCCTGAACGAGCAGTTGCCATGGTAACCAGGTAAACCACATCTTGAGTGAGCAGTTGCCATGGTAACCAGGTAAAACAGGTCTGGAATTACCTGTTGCCATGGTAACCAGGTAAAACAGGTCTGGAATTACCTGGCCCGTTGCCATGGCAACAAAGTAACCCAGGTCAGGAGCCGGGTAACCCGGTTACCATGGTAACGGGTTACCGCACTCCCAGGTGGCCCGGATGCGGAATGACCTGTTGCCATGGTAACCACGTAACCGGAATGACCCGTTGCCATGGCAACAGGACAGCCCAGGTCCTGGAATGACCTGTTGCCATGGTAACCACATAACCCAGGTCCCGAATGACCCGTTACCATGGTAACCAGGTGAACCAGGTCTGGAATCATTCGTTGCCGTTGTAACGGGGTAACCTGAGCTCCGAATACCCCGTTGCCATGGTAACCAGGTAACCCGGGTCCTGTGCTGCCCGTTGGCATGGTAACCACATAACACAGGCCCAGAATTGCCCGTTGCCATGGTAACCAGGTGACCCAGGCCCAGAGTGACCCGTTGCCATGGTAACCAGGTGAACCAGGTCGGGAATAATTCGTTGCCGTGGTAACGGGGTAACCTGAGCTCTGAATACCCCGTTGCCATGGTAACCAGGTGACCCAGGTCTGCAATAACTCGTGTCCACGGTAACCGGGTAACCCGGGTCCTGTGCTGCCCGTTGCCATGGTAACCAGGTAACCCTGAGTCTTATGCTGCCCGTTGCCATGGTAACTGCACAACCCTGCACGCTGAGTGACCCGTTGCCATGGTAACCACTTCACCTGGATCTGGAGTCGCCCGTTGCCATGGCGACCGGGTCACCTGGGTCCTGAGTGACCCCTTCGCCAGGGTAACTGGTCCGTTGCCATGGTAACCGGGTAAGCCAGGTCCTGAGTGACCTGTTGCCATGGTAACCAGATAGCCCAGGTCCTGAGTGAGCAGTTGCCATGGTAACCAGGTAAACCACATCCTGAACGACCAGTTGCCATGGTAACCAGGTAACCCAGGTCCTGAGTGACCCCGTTGCTATGGTAACCAGGTAAAACAGGTCTGGAATTACCTGTTGCCATGGTAACCAGGTAAAACCTCTCCAATCCCCCCCAAATCCCTTTCCAACCCTCCAGAATCCCCCAAATCCCCCCAGATGCCCTCAGAGCCCCCCAGATCCCCCCGAATTCCCAAAATTCCCAAACCCCCCACGCAGGGCCCGGCTGATGCAGAGCTTTAAGGAGTCGCACTCGCACAAACCTCCCCAAAATCCCCCCCACACCCCCCCAAAAGCCCCCCCGAATTCCCGCAATTCCCGCCCCGCGCAGGGCCCGGCTGATGCAGAGCTTTAAGGAGTCGCACTCGCACGAGTCGCTGCTGAGCCCCTCGAGCGCGGCCGAGGCGCTGGAGCTCAACCTGGACGAGGATTCCATCATCAAGGCCGTGCACAGCAGCATCCTGGGCCAGGAGTTCTGCTTCGAGGTGGGCGTTCCGGAACCTTCCGCGGCGGCGGGGCCCTCCCGGGGGCGTGGCTCACCTGTGGCGGGGGGCGGGGCCCGCAGGTGACCACGGCGTCGGGCACCAAGTGCTTCGCCTGCCGGTCGGCGGCCGAGAGGGACAAATGGATCGAGAACCTGCAGCGCGCCGTCAAGCCCAACAAGGTGGGGAATGGGCGGGGCTACGGCGAGGGGCGGGGCTAGAGGGGATGGGGACTGGTGAGAATGGGGGTGGTCAGTGGTGTTCGATGGTCAACTGGTGTTTGGTGGTCAACTGGTTATGGGGAGGGTCAACTGGTCATGGAAGTGGGCAACTGGTCATGGAAGTGGGCAACTGGTCATGGGGGTGGGCAACTGGTCATGGAGGTGGGCAACTGGTCACAGGGGCGGGTAACTGGCAGGGATGGGGGCCATTAACTGGTGTTTGATGGTCAACTGGTGATGGGGAGGGTGAACTGGTCAGGGGAGTTGTCAGCTGGTGGGGATGGGGGTGGTCAGTGGTGTTTGATGGTCAGCTGGTTATGGGGAGGGTCAATGGGCCATGGGGTTGGGCAACTGGTCATGGGGATGGGCTACTGGTCATGGGAGTGGGCAACTGGGGGATGGGGGTTGTTAACTGGTGTTTGATGGTCAGCTGGTGATGGGGAGGGTCAACAGGTCATGGGGATGGGCAACTGGTTATGGAAGTGGGCAACTGGTCATGAGAGAGGACAACTGGTGGGGATGGGGGCCGTTAACTGGTGTACAATGGTCAGCTGGTTATGGGAAGAGTCAAGGGGTCATGGGGTTGGTCAATGGGTCATGGGGATGGGCAGCTGGGGGATGGGGGTCATTAACTGGTGTACAATGGTCGACTGGTTATGGGGAGAGCCAATGGGTCATGGGGGTGGGCAACTGGTCATGGGGATGGGTTTGTTAACTGGTGTTCAATGGTCAACTGGTGTTTGACGGTCAACTGGTTACGGGGAGAGTCAACCGGTAACAGGAGAGGGCAGCTGGTGGGGATGGACAACTGGTCACGGGGATGGACAACTGGTCATGGGGATGGGCAACTGGTCATGGGAGAGGGCAACTGGTCATGGGGATGGGCAACTGGTCATGGGAGAGGGCAACTGGTCATGGGGATGGGCAACTGGTCATGGGAGAGGGCAACTGGCAGGGATGGGGGCCATTAACTGGTGTTTGATGTTCAGCTGGATATGGGGAGACAGTGGGTCATGGGCGTGGGCAACTGGTCATGGGGATGGGCAACTGGTGGGGATGGGTTTGTTAACTGGTGTTTGATGGTCAGCTGGTGATGGGGAGAGACAGTGGGTCACGGGGATGGGGAACTGGTCATAGAAGTGGGCAACTGGGGGATGGGGGTCATTAACTGGTGTTCAATGGTCAACTGGTGTTTGGTGTTCAGCTGGTTATGGGGAGAGACAATGGGTCATGGGGGTGGGCAACTGGTCACGGGGATGGGCAACTGGTCATGGAAGTGGACAACTGGTGGGGATGGGGGTGGTCAGTGGTATTTGATGGTCAACTGGTGTTTGGTGGTCAACTGGTTATGGGGAGGGTCAACTGGTCACAAGGGTGGGCAACTGGCAGGGATGGGGGCCATTAACTGGTGTTTGATGGTCAGCTGGTGATGGGGAGAGTCAAGGGGTCATGGGGTTGGTCAATGGGTCATGGGGATGGGCAGCTGGGGGATGGGGGTCATTAACTGGTGTACAATGGTCGACTGGTTATGGGGAGAGCCAATGGGTCATGGGGGTGGGCAACTGGTCATGGGGATGGGTTTGTTAACTGGTGTTCAATGGTCAACTGGTGTTTGACGGTCAACTGGTTACGGGGAGAGTCAACCGGTAACAGGAGAGGGCAGCTGGTGGGGATGGACAACTGGTCACGGGGATGGACAACTGGTCATGGGGATGGGCAACTGGTCATGGGGATGGACAACTGGTCATGGGAGAGGGCAACTGGCAGGGATGGACAAGTGGTCATGGGGGTGGGCAACTGGTCATGGGGATGGGCAACTGGTGGGGATGGGTTTGTTAACTGGTGTTTGATGGTCAGCTGGTGATGGGGAGAGTCAACTGGTCAGGGGAGAGGGCAACTGGCAGGGATGGACAAGTGGTCATGGGGGTGGGCAACTGGTCATGGGGATGGGCAACTGGTGGGGATGGGTTTGTTAACTGGTGTTTGATGGTCAGCTGGTGATGGGGAGAGTCAACTGGTCAGGGGAGAGGGCAACTGGCAGGGATGGACAAGTGGTCATGGGGGTGGGCAACTGGTCATGGGGATGGGCAACTGGTGGGGATGGGTTTGTTAACTGGTGTTTGATGGTCAGCTGGTGATGGGGAGAGACAGTGGGTCACGGGGATGGGGAACTGGTCATAGAAGTGGGCAACTGGGGGATGGGGGTCATTAACTGGTGTTCAATGGTCAACTGGTGTTTGGTGTTCAGCTGGTTATGGGGAGAGACAATGGGTCATGGGGGTGGGCAACTGGTCACGGGGATGGGCAACTGGTCATGGAAGTGGACAACTGGTGGGGATGGGGGTGGTCAGTGGTATTTGATGGTCAACTGGTGTTTGGTGGTCAACCGGTTATGGGGAGGGTCAACTGGTCACAGGGGTGGGCAACTGGCAGGGATGGGGGCCATTAACTGGTGTTTGATGGTCAGCTGGTGATGGGGAGGGTCAACTGGTCAGGGGAGTTGTCAGCTGGTGGGGATGGGGGTGGTCAGTGGTGTTTGATGGTCAGCTGGTGATGGGGAGAGTCAAGGGGTCATGGGGTTGGTCAATGGGTCATGGGGATGGGCAGCTGGGGGATGGGGGTCATTAACTGGTGTACAATGGTCGACTGGTTATGGGGAGAGCCAATGGGTCATGGGGGTGGGCAACTGGTCATGGGGATGGGTTTGTTAACTGGTGTTCAATGGTCAACTGGTGTTTGACGGTCAACTGGTTACGGGGAGAGTCAACCGGTAACAGGAGAGGGCAGCTGGTGGGGATGGACAACTGGTCACGGGGATGGACAACTGGTCATGGGGATGGGCAACTGGTCATGGGAGAGGGCAACTGGTCATGGGGATGGGCAACTGGTCATGGGAGAGGGCAACTGGCAGGGATGGGGGCCATTAACTGGTGTTTGATGTTCAGCTGGATATGGGGAGACAGTGGGTCATGGGCGTGGGCAACTGGTCATGGGGATGGGCAACTGGTGGGGATGGGTTTGTCAACAGGTGTTTGATGGTCAACTGGTGATGGGGAGAGACAGTGGGTCACGGGGGTGGGCAACTGGTCATGTGGGTGGGCAACTGGTCATGGAAGTGGTCAACTGGTCATGGGTATGGTGAAGTGGTGGGAATAGAAATGGTCAGCTGGTGTTGTTGATTAACTGGTCATGGGAGTGGTCAGCTGGTGGGGATGGTCATGGTGATGAGGATGGTCACGGTGTCAATGGTCAGCTGGTGATGGAAGTGGACAGCTGATATTGATCATCAGTTGGTGATGGAGCTGGTCAAACTGGTGTTTGATGGTCAACTGGTGGTGGGGTGGTTGTGGTGTTTATGGCCAAGTGTGTCGATGGTCACCCGGTGTTGATGGTTAACTGGTGGGGATGAAGATGGTCACCCGGTGTTGATGTCAGCTGGGATAAGGATGGTCAAGCAGTGGTGATGAGCGCGGTCAGCTGGTGTTGATGGTCACCTGTGCTTGATGGTCAGCTGGTGGGGATGAGAATGGTCAGGTGGTGTTGGTGGTCATCTGATGGGAATGGGGGTGGTCCGTTGGTGTTGATGTCAGCCAGAGTAGGGACGGTCAAGCAATGGTGATGAGCCTGGTCAGGGGGTGTTGATGGTCATCTGGGTGGTCAGTTGGAGGGGATGCTGATGGTCAGCTGGTGTTGATGGTCAGCTGGTGTTGAGGATGTTCATGATGTTGATGGTCAGCTGGTGTTGATGGTCACCTGGTGGGGGTGAGGACGGTTGAGCAATGGTGATGAGTGTGGTCAGCTGGTGTAGATGGTCAGCTGGTGTAGATGGTAATGTGGTGTTAATGATCAACTGGTGGTTATGGGGATGGTCAACTGATGCTGATGGTCAGTGGGGGCTGATGGTCAGCTGGTGTTGGTAGCCAGCTGGTGTTAACAATCAGCTAGTGGCAATAGGGATGGTCAGCTGGCCTTGGTGGTCAGTGGGTGTTGATGGTCAGTGAGCGTTGATGGTCACCTGGCGTTGGTGGCCAGCTGGTGTTAATGATCACCTGGTGGCAATGGGGATGGCCTCTTGGCATTGATGGTCACCTGGTGTTAACGATCACCTGGTAGCAAGGGGGATGGTCACCTGCCATTGAAGGCCTCCTGGTGTTGATGGTCATCTGGCATTGATGGTCAGCTGGCAGTGATGGTCAGCCAGTGTGAACACTCACCTGGTGTCAGAGGGGATGTCAGCTGGCGTTGATGGTCACCTGGCGTTAACGATCACCTGGTGGCAAGGGGGATGGTCACCTGGCATTGAAGGCCTCCTGATGCTGAAGGTCAGCTGGCGTTGATGGTTACCTGGTGTTGATGGTCACCTGGTGTTGATGGTCAGCTGGCGGTGATGGTCAGCTGGTGTGAACACTCACCTGGTGTCAGAGGGGATGGTCACCTGGCGTTGATGGTCACCTGGCATTGAAGGCTTCCTGATGCTGAAGGTCAGCTGGCATTGATGGTTGGTCAGCTGGTGTTGATGGTCACCTGGCGTTGATGGTCAGCTGGTGTTGATGGTCAGCTGGTGTTGATGGTCAGCTGGCGTTGATGGTCAGCTGGTGGTGATGGTCAGCCGGTGTGAACACTCACCTGGTGTCAGTGGGGTGGTCACCTGGTGTTCACGATCACCTGGTGGCAAGGGGGATGGTCACCTGGCATTGAAGGCCTCCTGATGTTGATGGTCAGCTGGTATTGATGGTCACCTGGTGTTGATGGTCAGCCGGTGTGAACACTCACCTGGTGGCAGTGGGGATGGTCACCTGGCACTGATCCCACCCGGGCTAAGGACGGCCCCTCGCGGCTCTGAGCTGCTCCACGGGCGTTGCCACTCCCCGCTGCCCTGACCACGGGGTGCCCGCGGGCTCTGACCCCGCAGGACAACAGCCGCCGCGTGGACAACGTGCTGAAGCTGTGGGTGATCGAGGCGCGCGACCTGCCGCCCAAGAAGCGCTACTACTGCGAGCTGTGCCTGGACGACATGCTGTACGCGCGCACCACCAGCAAGGCCCGCACCGACAACGTCTTCTGGGGCGAGCACTTCGAGTTCAACAACCTGCCGGCCGTGCGCACCATCCGCCTGCACCTCTACAAGGACACCGACAAGAAGAGGAAGAAGGACAAGAGCAACTACGTGGGCATGGTGAGCATCCCCATCGCCAGCGTCACCGGGCGGCACTTCGCCGAGCAGTGGTACCCCCTGAGCCAGCCCAGCGGCAGCAAGAGCAAGGCCGGGTGCCCGGCGCTGCGGGTCAAGAGCCGCTTCCAGACCATGAGCATCCTGCCCATGGAGCTCTACAAGGAGTTCGCCGAGTACGTCACCAACAACTACCGCATGCTCTGCGCCGTGCTGGAGCCCGTGCTCAGCGTCAAGAGCAAGGAGGAGGTGGCCTGCGACCTGGTGGCAGTGGGGATGGTCACCTGGCACTGATCCCACCCGGGCTAAGGACGGCCCCTCGCGGCTCTGAGCTGCTCACCTGGCACTGATCCCACCCGGGCTAAGGACGGCCCCTCGCAGCTCTGAGCCGCTCCATGGGCGTTGCCGCTCCCCGCTGCCCTGACCACGGGGTGCCCGCGGGCTCTGACCCCGCAGGACAACAGCCGCCGCGTGGACAACGTGCTGAAGCTGTGGGTGATCGAGGCGCGCGACCTGCCGCCCAAGAAGCGCTACTACTGCGAGCTGTGCCTGGACGACATGCTGTACGCGCGCACCACCAGCAAGGCCCGCACCGACAACGTCTTCTGGGGCGAGCACTTCGAGTTCAACAACCTGCCGGCCGTGCGCACCATCCGCCTGCACCTCTACAAGGACACCGACAAGAAGAGGAAGAAGGACAAGAGCAACTACGTGGGCATGGTGAGCATCCCCATCGCCAGCGTCACCGGGCGGCACTTCGCCGAGCAGTGGTACCCCCTGAGCCAGCCCAGCGGCAGCAAGAGCAAGGCCGGGTGCCCGGCGCTGCGGGTCAAGAGCCGCTTCCAGACCATGAGCATCCTGCCCATGGAGCTCTACAAGGAGTTCGCCGAGTACGTCACCAACAACTACCGCATGCTCTGCGCCGTGCTGGAGCCCGTGCTCAGCGTCAAGAGCAAGGAGGAGGTGGCCTGCGCGCTGGTGCACATCCTGCAGAGCACCGGCAAGGCCAAGGTGGGGCTGCGGGGTGGGAATGGTGGGATCTGGGAGGTTGGGATGGATTGGGATGGATGGATGGATGGATGGATGGATGGATGGATGGATGGATGATGGATGGATGGATGGATGATGGAGAAGGGACAGAAGGATGTCTGGCCCTGGGCCACACTGACGGTTGCGGGCAGGACTTCCTGTCGGACATGGCCATGACGGAGGTGGATCGTTTCATGGACCGGGAGCATCTGATCTTCCGGGAGAACACCTTGGCCACCAAAGCCATCGAGGAGTATCTGAAGCTCATCGGCCAGAAATACCTCAAGGACGCCATTGGTGAGTGCCAATGGCACTGGGGGGTGTCAGCGGGGGCGTGGTCTCGTTGGCGGGGGTGTGGTGGGATGGGTGGTCCCACTCATGGCCATGAAGTTGGATTGTTCCTTCTCATGGCCATGAGATCACTGGGTGTTCCCCACTCATGGCATTGACATGGTTGGGTGGCCCCTTCTTGTCATCATGAGATGCTTGAGTGGTCCCCACTTATGGCTATGCAGTCATTGGATGGTGCCCATTCACACCATCACCACCATCGTGAGATCATTGGGTGGTCCTCACTCATGGCCAGTTTCCATCACAACCATCATGAGATCCTTGGATTGTCCCTTCCCATGGCCATGACATTGTTTGGGGTCCCACACATGACCAGATTGCATCACCACTATCATGAGATGGTTGGGTCGTCCCTTCTCACATTCACAAGATATGTGGGTGGTCTCTACTCATGGCCATGACATGGTTGGGTGAGATGCTTGGGTGGTCCCCACTTATGGCTATGCAGTCATTGGATGGTGCCCATTCACACCATCACCACCATCGTGAGGTCATTGGGTGGTCCCCACTTATGGCTATGCGGTCATTGGATGGTGCCCATTCACACCATCACCACCATCGTGAGATCATTGGGTGGTCCTCACTCATGGCCAGTTTCCATCACAACCATCATGAGATCCTTGGATTGTCCCTTCCCATGGCCATGACATTGTTTGGGGTCCCACACATGACCAGATTGCATCACCACTATCATGAGATGGTTGGGTCGTCCCTTCTCACATTCACAAGATATGTGGGTGGTCTCTACTCATGGCCATGACATGGTTGGGTGGCCCCTTGTTGTGGTCATGAGATGTTTGGGAGGTCCCTGCTCACAGCCTGGTTCCATCACCACCATCATGAGGTCATTGGGTGGTCCCACAGGTGGTCATGAGATGCTTGGGTGGCCACCTGTTGTCCTCATGAGATGGTTGCGTGGCCCCTTGTTGTGGTCATGAGATGTTTGGGTGGTCCCTGCTCACAGCCCGGTTCCATCACCACCATCATGAGATTGTTGGGTTGTCCCTTCTCATGGCCATGAGATCATTGGGTGGTCTCTTTTCATGGCCACGTCCCCAGTCAGATTGTTCTGGGATGGTTGGGTGGTCCCTACTCATAATCAAGTTCTATCACCTTCATCAATGAGATGGTTGGGTGGTCTCTCCTTGTGGCCATGTGACATTCGTGTGGTCCCTGCTTATGGCCCTGACATGGCTGGGTGGCCCCTTCTTGTGGTCATGACGAGGTTGGGTGGTCTCCACTGATAACCAGGTTCCATCATCACCATCGCGAGATTGTTGGGTCCTTCCTTCTCATGGCCATGAGATCATTGGGTGGTTCCAGGTTCCATTACCACCATCATCATGAGATCTTGGGTGGTCCCCACCCATGGCCACATTTTATCATCACCATCATGAAATCATTGGGTGGTCTCTTCTCACATCCATGATGCGGTTGGGTGGTCTCCACTTATGGCCATCAGGTCATTGGCTGGTCCCCACTCATGCTCAAGTTCCATCACCACCATCATGAGATCAATGGTTGGTCTCTTCGCACATCCATGACACCATTGGATGGTCCCCACTCACAGTCATGTTCCATCACCACCATCATGAGATCTTTGTGTGGTCCCTTCTCACATCCATGACATGGTTGGGTGGTCCCCACTCATGACCATGTTCCATCACCACCATCATGAGATCTTTGGGCGGTCCCATTTCATGGCCATGACATGGTTGGGTGGTCCCCACTCATGGTTATGTTCCACCACCATCATATTGAGATCTTTAGGTGGTCCTCACTCATGGCCATTAGGTCATTGGGTGATCCCCACTCACGCTCATGTTCCATCACCACCATCATGAGATCTTTGGGTGTTCCTCACTCATGGCCATTAGGTCATTGGGTGGTCCCCACTCATGGTCATGTTCCATCATCACCATCATGAGATCATTGGACGGGTCTCACTCATGGCTAGGTTCCATCGTCACCATCATGAGATCTTTGGGCGGTCCCATTTCATGGCCATGACGTGGTTGGGTGGTCCCCACTCATGGTTATGTTCCACCACCAGCATCATGAGATCTTTGGGTGGTCCTCACTCATGGCCATTAGGTCATTGGATGCTCCCCACTCATGGCCATGTTCCATCACCACCATCATGATCCATCATGAGATCATTGGGTGATCCCCACTCATGGCCATTAGGTCATTGGATGCTCCCCACTCATGGCCATGTTCCATCACCACCATCATGAGATCTTTGTGTGGTCCCTTCTCACATCCATGACATGGTTGGGTGGTCCCCACTCATGGTCATGTTCCATCATCACCATCATGAGATCATTGGACGGGTCTCACTCATGGCTAGGTTCCATCGTCACCATCATGAGATCTTTGGGCGGTCCCATTTCATGGCCATTAGGTCATTGGGTGGTCCCCAGTACATGCTTATGTTCCATCACCACCATCATGAGATCATTGGGTGGTCCTCACTCATGGCCATTAGGTCATTGGGTGGTCTCCATTCATGGCCATGTTCCATCACCACCATCATGAGATCATTGGATGGGTCCTCACTCATGGCTATTAGGTCATTGGGTGGTCCGCACTCAGAGTCATGTTCCATCACCACCATCATGAGATCTTTGGGTGTTCCTCACTCATGGCCATTAGGTCATTGGGTGATCCATACTCATGGCCATGTTCCACTATCACCACCATGAGATCTTTGGGTGATCCGTACTCATGGCCATGTTCCACCATCACCACCATGAGATCTTTGGGTGGTCCCCACTCACGGCCATGTTCCATCACCACCATCATGATATCATTGGACGGGTCCTCACTCATGGCTAGGTTCCATCGCCACCACCATGAGATCTTTGGGTGGTCCCCACTCACGGCCATGTTCCATCACCACCATCATGATATCATTGGACGGGTCCTCACTCATGGCTAGGTTCCATCGCCACCACCATGAGATCTTTGGGTGGTCCCTTGTCACCTCCATGACACGGTCGGGTCCCTTCTCCCCCCGCCCCTCGGTGTCCCCGTGGGTGTCCCCGTGTCCCCCTGCCCGCGCCGTGCCGCAGGCGAGTTCATCCGTGCGCTCTACGAGTCGGAGGAGAACTGCGAGGTGGACCCCATGAAGTGCTCGGCCTCCACCCTGGCCGACCACCAGGCCAACCTGCGCATGTGCTGCGAGCTGGCGCTCTGCAAGGTGGTCAACTCCCACTGGTGAGTGCGGGGACGCGGCGGGGACATCCCGGGGAGGTCCGGGTGACGCCGTGTGACACCGCGTGCCACCGTGTCCCGCGGCAGCGTGTTCCCGCGGGAGCTGAAGGAGGTGTTCGCCTCGTGGCGGCTGCGCTGCGCCGAGCGCGGGCGCGAGGACATCGCCGACCGCCTGATCAGCGCCTCGCTCTTCCTGCGCTTCCTGTGCCCCGCCGTGATGTCCCCCAGCCTCTTCGGCCTCATGCAGGAGTACCCCGACGAGCAGACGGCGCGGACGCTGACCCTCATCGCCAAGGTCATCCAGAACTTGGCCAACTTCACCAAGTGAGGGCGGCGAGGGAATGGGGAAGGGGCGGGGTCAGGGAGGGGTGGAATGGTGGAGATGGATGATGGATGGATGATGGATGATGGATGGATGGATGATGGATGGATGGGTGGATGGATGATGGATGGATGATGGATGGATGATGGATGGATGGATGGATGATGGATGATGGATGGATGGATGGATGATGGATGGATGGATGGATGATGGATGGATGGATGGATGGATGATGGATGATGGATGGATGGATGGATGATGGATGGATGGATGGATGGATGGATGGATGGATGGATGGATGGAGAGATGGATGATGGATTGATGAAGGATGGATGGATGATGAATGATGACAGTGATGATGATGGATGATAGATAATGATGGTTGATGGATGATGATGGGTGATGGATGATGATGGTTGATGGATGATGATGGGTAATACCAGTGGTTGATGGTGATGGTGGATGATGATGGATGGCGGGTGATGAGGGATGGATGATGGATGATGACAATTGATGATGATGATGACAATGGATGACCAATAACCATGGACAACTAATGATGATGGACGATGATGGGTGATGGTTGACGATGCATGATAATGGTAGATGATGATGGATGATGATGAAAGATGACAATTGAGGAAGGGTGATGATGGATGGATGATGATGATGATGGATGAAGGATGTTGATGATGATGATAGATGAAAATGGATGATGATAATGCATGAAGGATGATGATGATGGATGTTGATGATGATGGATGAAGGATGATGATGGATGATGATGAAAGATGACAGTTGATGAAGGATGATGAGGGATGGATGATGATGATGGATGAAGGATGATGAGGGACGGATGATGGATGATGATGATGGATGAAGGATGTAGATGATGATGATAGGTGATAATGGATGATGACAATGGATGAAGCATGATGATGATGGATGTTGATGATGATGGATGAAGGATGATGATGGATGGATGGATGATAGATGAATGATGATGGATAAAGGATGATGATGATGGATGATAATGGATGAAGGATGATGATGGATGGATGATGGATGATGATGGATGGATGATGGATGATGATGATGATGATGATGGATGATGGATGATGTTGGATGATGATGATGATGATGGATGATGATGATGATGGCGGTGACTGACAATGGATGACAACAGATGATGATGGATGATGGACAACCCCGACTTCCCACCCTTCCCCTCTCACCTGCCACCTCCCACTCCATCCCTCACATTGCGGATTCCCTCCACCTGCCGGCCCCGCCCTCACCTGCTGGGGGTGTCCCCACGCAATGGTGGATGAAGGATGATGATGATGGATGGATGATGGATGATGATGATGATGGTGGATGATAATGGATGATGATGGATGGATGATGATGGATGATGATGGTGGATGAAGGATGATGATGATGGATGGATGATGGATGATGATGATGATGGCGGTGACTGACAATGGATGACAACAGATGATGATGGATGATGGACAACCCCGACTTCCCACCCTTCCCCTCTCACCTGCCACCTCCCACTCCATCCCTCACATTGCGGATTCCCTCCACCTGCCGGCCCCGCCCTCACCTGCTGGGGGTGTCCCCACGCACCTGCCTGCCCCACCCTCACCTGCTGGGGGTGTCCCTGCCCACCTGTTGGCCCCGCCCTCACCTGCTGGGAGTGTCCCCACCCACATGCTGACTCCATCTTCACCTGCTGGGAGATGTTCCTGCTCACCTGCCAGCCCCACCCTCAACCATTGGGTGCTCCCACCCACCTGCCAGCCCCGCCCTCACCTGCTGGGGGTGTCCCCACCCACCTGGTGGCCCTGTCCTCACCTGCTGGGAGATGTTCCTGTGGATAAAGGATGATGATGATGGATGGATGGTGGTGGATGAAGGATGATGATGGATGATGATAATGATGGCAGTGGCTGACAATGGATGGCAACAGATGATGATGGATGATGGACAACCCCCACTTCCCATCCTTCCTCCCCCTCACCTGCCACCTCCCACCCTACCCCTCACACTGGGGACACCCTTCACCTGCTGGGGCCCACCTGCTGGCCCCGCCCTCACCTGCTGGGGGATGTTCATGCCCACCTGATGGCAGGAGGTGTCCCTGCCCACCTGCCTGCCCCACCCTCACCTGCTGGGGGTGTCCCTGCCCACCTGCCTGCCCCACCCTCACCTGCTGGGGGTGTCCCCGCCCACCTGCCTGCCCCACCCTCACCTGCTGGGGGTGTCCTGCCCACCTGCCTGCCCCACCCTCACCCGCTGGGGGTGTCCCCGCCCACCTGGCTCCCCTACCCTCACCTGCTGGGGGTATCCCCGCCCACCTGCCGGCCCCGCCCTCACCTGTGCCCCTGTGCCAGGTTCGGGAGCAAGGAGGAGTACATGGCGTTCATGAACGAGTTCCTGGAGCTGGAGTGGGCCAGCATGCAGCAGTTCCTGTACGAGATCTCCAACCTGGACACGCTGACCAACAGCACCAGCTTCGAGGGCTACATCGACCTGGGCCGCGAGCTGTCCACGCTGCACGCGCTGCTCTGGGAGGTCATGAGCCAGCTCAGCAAGGTACCGCACCTGGGCTCACCTGGGGAGCCCACCACGGCCTCACCTGTGCGGTGAGAACCTCACCTGTGCGGTGAGAACCTCACCTGTGCGGTGAGAACCTCACCTGTGCGGGCAGAGCCTCACCTGTGCGGTGTGAACCTCACCTGTGCACCCACGGCCTCACCTGTGCAGGCACAGCCTCACCTGGGGTGGTCATGGGCGGGGTGACGCCAGGTATCCCCGCCTACCTGCCGGCCCCGCCCTCACCTGTGCCCCTGTGCCAGGTTCGGGAGCAAGGAGGAGTACATGGCGTTCATGAACGAGTTCCTGGAGCTGGAGTGGGCCAGCATGCAGCAGTTCCTGTACGAGATCTCCAACCTGGACACGCTGACCAACAGCACCAGCTTCGAGGGCTACATCGACCTGGGCCGCGAGCTGTCCACGCTGCACGCGCTGCTCTGGGAGGTCATGAGCCAGCTCAGCAAGGTACCGCACCTGGGCGCACCTGGGGAGCCCCCCACGGCCTCACCTGTGCGGTGAGAACCTCACCTGTGCGGTGAGAACCTCACCTGTGCGGTGAGAACCTCACCTGTGCGGGCAGAGCCTCACCTGTGCGGTGTGAACCTCACCTGTGCACCCACGGCCTCACCTGTGCAGGCACAGCCTCACCTGGGGTGGTCATGGGCGGGGTGACGCCCCCCAGCCATCGCAGGTGTCCCATCATGGTGGGGATGGATATCCTGCTGGACCAGCTCTGGGAGATCATGAGCCAGCTCAGCAAGGTACCGCACCTGGGCGCACCTGGGGAGCTCCCCACGGCCTCACCTGTGCCGTGAGAACCTCACCTGTGTGGGCTCAGCCTCACCTGGGGGGTGGCCGTGGGGATGTCCACGCTGCACGCGCTGCTCTGGGAGGTCATGAGCCAGCTCAGCAAGGTACCGCACCTGGGGAGCCCCTCACCTGTGTGGTGACAGCCTCACCTGTGCAGTGACAATCTCACCTGTGCACCCATGGCCTCACCTGTGCACCCATGGCCTCACCTGTGCAGTGAGAACCTCACCTGTGCACCCACGGCCTCACCTGTGCAGGCACAGCCTCACCTGGGGTGGTGAGAACCTCACCTGTGCACCCACGGCCTCACCTGTGTGGGCACAGCCTCACCTGTGTGGTGTGAACCTCACCTGTGCACCCACGGCCTCACCTGTGCGGGCACAGCCTCACCTGGGGTGGTGAGAACCTCACCTGTGCGGGCAGAGCCTCACCTGTGCGGTGTGAACCTCACCTGTGCACCCACGGCCTCACCTGTGCAGGCACAGCCTCACCTGGGGTGGTCATGGGCGGGGTGACGCCCCCCAGCCATCGCAGGTGTCCCATCATGGGAGGCTCCTGGGGTGCCCCCAGGTGAGGTCCCAGGGGTCCCACCTGCCCAGGTGTGCCCAGGTGTGCCCAGGTGAGCTGAGTGCCCCCCGCAGGAGGCGCTGCTGAAGCTGGGCCCTGTCACAGTCATTGGGGTCCCCCGTGTGCAGTCAGTGCGAGGTCCCAGGTGTGCTCAGGTGCACTCAGGTGCTCCCAGGCACACTCAGGTGCTCCCAGATGCTCCCAGGTGCACTCAGCTGTCCCCAGGTGCACTCAGGTGAACTCAGGTGTGCTCACCTGTCCGCAGGAGGCGCTGCTGAATCTGGGCCCTGTCAGAGTCATTGGGAAATCAATGGGGTTGCTCTAGATGAGGTTGCACTCGGTTGTGCTCAGGTGCCCTCAGATGCACTCAGGTGTGCTTAGGGGCACTCAGGTGCTCCCACGTGCACTCAGGTGTGCCCAGGTGCACTCAGGCTCTCACCTGTCCGCAGGAGGCGCTGCTGAAGCTGGGCCCTGTCAGAGTCATTGGGAAATCAATGGGATTGCTGTAGATGAGGTTGCAGGTGCACTCAGGTGCACTCAGGTGCTCACCTGTCCGCAGGAGGCGCTGCTGAAGCTGGGCCCCATTGCAGTCATTGGGAAATCAATGGGGTTGCTGTAGATGAGGTTCCAGGTGCGCTCAGGTGCACTCAGGTGCACTCAGGTGTGCTCAGGTGCTCACCTGTCCGCAGGAGGCGCTGCTGAAGTTGGGCTCCATTGTAGGCATTGGGGGTGCACTCAGGTGCCCTCAGATGCACTCGGGTGTGCTCAGGTGAGCTGAGCTGCAGTCAGGTGTGCTTCTCAGGTGCACTCAGGTGCTCCCAGGCACACTCAGGTGCTCCCAGGTGCTCCCAGGTGCACTCAGCTGTCCCCAGGTGCACTCAGGTGAACTCAGGTGTGCTCACCTGTCCGCAGGAGGCGCTGCTGAATCTGGGCCCTGTCAGAGTCATTGGGAAATCAATGGGGTTGCTGTAGATGAGGTTGCAGGTGCACTCAGGTGTGCTCAGGTGCACTCAGGTGTGCTCAGGTGCTCACCTGTCCGCAGGAGGCGCTGCTGAAGCTGGGCCCCATTGTAGGCATTGGGGGTGCGCTCAGGTGTCCCCAGGTGTTCCCAGGCTCACTCAGGTGCTCACCTGCCCGCAGGAGGCGCTGCTGAAGCTGGGCCCCATTGCAGTCATTGGGAAATCAATGGGGTTGCTCTAGATGAGGTTCCAGGTGCACTCAGGTGCACTCAGGTGTCCCCAGTTGCACTCAGGTGTCCCCAGGTGTCCCCAGGTGCACTCAGGCACACTCAGTTGCGCTCAGGTGCACTCAGGTGCACTCAGGTGCGCTCACCTGTCCGCAGGAGGCGCTGCTGAAGCTGGGCCCTGTCAGAGTCATTGGGAAATCAATGGGGTTGCTCTAGATGAGGTTCCAGGTGCACTCAGGTGCACTCAGGTGCGCACTCAGGTGTCCCCAGGTGTCCCCAGGTGCACTCAGGCTCTCACCTGCCCGCAGGAGGCGCTGCTGAAGCTGGGCCCCATTGCAGTCACTGGGAGATCAATGGGGTTGCTCTGGATGAGGTTCCAGGAGCACTCAGGTGTTTCCAGGTGCTCCCAGGTGCACTCAGGAGCACTCAGGTGTCCCCAGGTGTCCCCAGGTGCACTCAGGCTCTCACCTGCCCGCAGGAGGCGCTGCTGAAGCTGGGCCCGCTGCCGCGGCTGCTGACGGACATCAGCGTGGCGCTGCGCAACCCTCACCTGCAGCGCCAGCCCAGCCAGGGCGAGCGGCTGCCGCCCAAGGGGCTGGTGCTGCGCGGGCCCTCGGCCGACCTGCAGCCCTACCTCGTGCGCGACCTCAACAGGTGAGCGCACCTGCCCCCGTGCCTGCTTCCGGGGCCAGGGTGTCCCCCTGTCTCACCTGGCCTCACCTGGGGTCACCCACCCACCTGTCACCTGCCCCTCGTGTCCCCTTCTGTGGCCAAGGTGTCCCCCTGTCTCACCTGGCCTCACCTGGTGTGGCCCCACCCACCTGTCAGCCCCTGTCATGTCCTCTTGTGTGGCCAAAGTGTCCCCCTGTCTCACCTGGCCTCACCTGGGGTAGCCCCACCCACCTGTCACCTGCCTCTTGTGTCCCCTTGTGTATCCAAGATGTCCCCCGGTCTCACCTGGCGTGGCCTCATCCACCTGTCAGCCCCACCTTGTGTCCCCTTCTGTGGCCAAGGTGTTCCCCTGTCTCACCTGGCCTCACCTGGCCTCACCTGGCATGGCCCCACCCACCTGTCAGCCCCACCTTGTGTCCCCTTCTGTGGCCAAAGTGTCCCCCCGTCTCACCTGGCCTCACCTGGGGTCACCACACCCACCTGTCGGCTCCTCCCAGTGTCCCCCTGTGTGGCCAAAGTCTCACCTGGCCTCACCTGGCGTGGCCTCATCCACCTGTCAGCCCCACCTCATGTCCCCTTCTGTGGCCAAGGTGTCCCCCATCTCACCTGGCCTCACCTGGTGTGGCCCCACCCACCTGTCAGCCCCTCCTGGTGTCCTCTTTTGTGGCCAAAGTCTCACCTGGCCTCACCTGGTGTGGCCTCACTCACCTGTCAGTCTCACCTTGTGTCCCCTTCTGTGGCCAAAGTGTCCCCCTGTCTCACCTGGCCTCACCTGGTGGCCCTCACTCTCACCTGGGGTGGCCCTGCCCACCTGTGGCCCCACCAATGTCCCCATGGTGACCCCCAAATACCCGCGGGACCCTCACGTCCCACCTGTGACCCCCAATGTCACCTGTCATTGCCTGAGGTCTCACCTGAGGGTCTCACCTGTCCTGCCCTGTGTTCCCTGGTGTCCCCACCTGTCCCAGGTGTTCCTGGAGGTCTCACCTGTCATGCCCTGGTGTCCCCCCATGTCTCCACCTGTCCCAGGTGTGCCTGGGGGTCTCACCTGCAGGTGTCACCTGTCCTGCCCTGAGTCCCCTGGGTGCCCCCACCTGTCCCAGGTGTGCCTGGGGGTGTCACCTGGGGTGTCACCTGTCCTGCCCTCGTGTTCCCCTGGTGTCCCCTCCATGTCCCCACCTGTCCCCAGACCTCACCTGGGCGTGTCACCTGCCCCGGTGTCCCCTTGGTGTCCTCACCTGGGTCCCACCTGTCCCCCCATGTTCCCTTGGTGTCCCTGAGTCTCACCTGGGGGTGTCACCTGGGGTGTCACCTGTCCTGCCCTCGTGTTCCCCTGGTGTCCCCCACCCGTCCCAGGTGTCCCTGGGGGTCTCACCTGTCCCCCTCTGTGTCCTCTGGTGTGCTCACCTGTCCCAGGTGTGCCTGGGGGGTCTCACCTGCTGGTGTCACCTGTCCTCATCAGTGTCCCTCTGGTGTTCACACCTGTCCCAGGTGCCCCTGGAAGTGTCACCTGTCCTGTCCTAGTGTTCCCCTGGTGTCCCTGGGTCTCACCTGGGGGTGTCACCTGTCCTGCCCCAGTGTCCCCGGTGTCCCCACCTATCCCAGGTGTCCCCAGATCTCACCTGGGGGTGTCACCTGCCCTGCCCGGTGTCCCTCTGATGTCCCCACCCCTCCTGCCCTGTGTCCCCTGGTGTCCCCACCTGTCCCAGGTGTCTCCAGATCTCACCTGAGGGTGTCACCTGTCCCCTCCATATTCCCTTGGTGTCTCCAGATCTCACCTGGGGGTGTCACCTGTCCTGCCCTGTGTCCCTCTGGTGTTCACACCTGCCCCAGGTGTCCCTGGGGGTGTCACCTGTCCTGCCCGGTGTCCCTCTGATGTCCCCACCCCTCCTGCCCGGTGTCCCCTGGTGTCCCCACCTGTCCCAGGTGTCCCCGGGTCTCACGTGGGGGTCTCACCTGGGGGTCTCACCTGAGGGTGTCACCTGTCCTGCCCTGTGTCCCTCTGGTGTTCACACCTGTCCCAGGTGTCCCTAGGGGTGTCACCTGTCCTGCCCTGTGTCCCCTGGTGTCCCCACCTGTCCCAGGTGTCTCCAGATCTCACCTGAGGGTGTCACCTGTCCCCTCCATATTCCCTTGGTGTCTCCAGATCTCACCTGGGGGTGTCACCTGTCCCCCACAGTGTCCCCTGGTGTCCCCACCTGTCCCAGCTGTCCCCGGGTCTCACCTGGGAGTCTCACCTGGGGGTCTCACCTGAGGGTGTCACCTGTCCTGCCCTGTGTCCCCTGGTGTCCCCACCTGTCCCAGGTGTCCCCGGGTCTCACGTGGGGGTCTCACCTGGGGGTGTCACCTGGGGGTCTCACCTGGCCCTCACCTGTCCCTGTCCCCGCAGCTCCGTGGATCTCCAGTCCTACATGGTCCGGGGGCTCAACAGGTGAGGGGCGGGAACTGGGACTGGGGATTGGGATTTTGGGGGATTTTGGGGGATGGGGATTGGAAATTGGGACTGGGATTTCAGGTTTGGAGTTTGGGATTTTGCGATTTTGGAAATTGGGGATTTGGTATTTCGGATTTGGGAACTGGGGATTGGAGGTTTGGGATTTGGGGTTTGGGGATTTGGGGTTTGGGAATTGGGGTTTGGAATTTGGAATTTGGGATATGGGCTTTAGCATTTGGGGGTTTTGGGGTTTGGGGGATTTGGGGTTTGGGATTTGGGGTTTGGGGATTTGGGGTTTGGGAATTGGGGTTTGGAATTTGGAATTTGGGATATGGGCTTTAGCATTTGGGGGTTTTGGGGTTTGGGGGATTTGGGGTTTGGGATTTGGGAATTTTGAGTTGGGATCAGGATGGCAATTGGGATTGGGATTGGGATTGGGATTGGGATAGGGATTGGGATTGGGGTGGGGATGAAAGTGGGATTGGAATCAGGATGGAGACAGGGCTGGGGATGAGACAGGCGAGGACGGGGACGGGAATGTTTGGGATGGGGACATTCAGGATGAGGACGGGAATGTTTGGGATGGAATGTTGGGATGGGGGCAGGAACGTTTGGGATGGGAGCATTCGGGATGGGAACGGGAACGTTCGGGCCGGGGTGGGACAGGCGGGGATGGGGCGGGGCAGGGACAGCAGCGGGACAAAGATTCCAGAGACGGATCGGGGCCGTGTCCAACCGCCCTCACCCCGTGTGTGCTCCCCGTCCCACATCCCCCATTCCTCCATCCCCGCCCCAATCCCATGTCCCCTCCATCCCCGGCCCCAATCCCATGTCCCCTCCACCGTCTGTCCGTCCGTCGGTCCGTCCGTGGGTCCCGCAGCTCCATGGACGTGCCGCGCCTGCCGTCGCCGCCGCAGGAGAAGGGTCCCCCCGAGGTGCTGGTGCTGAGCCGCCCGCCGCTCGCCCGCTCCTCGCCCGCCTACTGCACCAGCAGCTCGGACCTGACCGAGCCCGAGGGCGGCCGCGGCGGCGCGCTGGGCGTCGGCAAGAGCGTCTCCATGCTGGACCTGCAGGACGGACGCGTGGACAGCATCCCCAGCCTGCCGGCCGAGCTGCTGGCCGGGGGCGCGGCGCCGGGCGGCGCGGGCCAGGGCGGGCTGCGGCCCGG